CACACTGTCCTACTTGTAGACACTTTCTCCCTCTATATAGAAATCTTCCCCAATCGGTGCCTGTTGGTCCCCCATGATACTCTTTTTGTCTTATGTTAATTGAGACCTGAGTTAATGAGATAGCCACCTGTCAGTGACCTCGCTGTGTGGTCTAATCCCTTCCGGCTGAACTAAGACAGCCGGCCTTTAAAGTTTTTTTGAACGACACGTTTTAGAAAGAAATATCACCTTATAAGAAAGGTGGATCTAAAAACTTGATGATAATATGATTTATGGTTTACTGAATCTGGCAGCCCGTAGGCTGAATTTCATTCAGTTTACAAAGTAAAAACAACTCAACTTGCACATCAATGTTGTAACAATTATCATACAATGTGAGAATATTAAACAATAAGCCAAACGGAAATCAAAATGAAAAAACTGATGAGTATCTACAATTACCACTAATACAGTATCTACATGGCACTACAATAGGAAAGAATGAAAAATGGTTGAAAACGAGTTTAAAAGGGATAAAAAAAAATGTCCTATACATGTCTATATTTAATTAAACATAACTAATCTTTCAAAGTTTTCTCTTGTTCATTGCAATATAATGTTTGTACAGCTGCACACAAAAGAAAGAAAAAACAGCCTTTCATTATTGTAATAAACAACACTTTCCTTATAGGCGAAAGATTTTACGAGATCAAAAAATCTAGGCATTTCCTATAATTCATAAAGTAATCAAGATAATGTTTTTAATGTAATTGTAGATCAATATTTCCCTCCAGAGGTTTCAAATCATTCAAATGATGCTCGATTGCATCCGATTAAAAATCTCTTTCTGTATCTTCTTTTATGTTCTCTTCTGTATTCTCCTCTTTCCCCTAAAGTAAGTTACGGAATCTGAAGTTATGCATTATTCTCTACTATCATCTCTTGTTTCATCTTCTATCTTTTCCACCTTCCCCAAAAGTTTGTTACAAAAGCTGATTGTGATTCAATCTAATCTCACTTATTTTCTCCACTTTCCCTACAGACAGTTACATAAGCTGATTTGTTTCTAGTCTTAATCAGATTTTATTCATCATTCTCTTCCTCTTTCTCTATTCTCGATCCTCTTTTCCTTACAGTTAGTTACAAAAGCTGACTGTTTCCCAATCTAAATATCACCTTATGCCTAATTCTCTTTCTCTATCTTCTTTTATTCTCTCTTCTTTAATTTCATCTATTCCCTACAGTTATGTACAGCTGATTGTTATTCAATCAAAATCATAGAGTCAGTGCTGTTTCTTAATCATCTTTTACTTCTATAGCATCTTATCTTCCCTCCCTGCAGTTGTTTTCAGAATCTGATTGTATTTAAAGTGAGTCAGTTCGGGTTTGGGGGAAGGAAATTAAGTTAAAGTACTCTTTTAAACTAGAGCTTCAACATACAAGTTGTATATCAGATGTTGGAAAGTTTACTTTTAAGTTTTAATCCAGTGGTTCGTCAGTTTTCCACGTGCAGAAGGTCATAATTTGCTGACACCAGACTTGGTGGAAATACCATTAGTGGGTTTACACATCATTATCCTACACTGACTAAATCCTTGAGTAAATACTAAATACCTTAACTAAAACACACTTGCAACTCTTACCCAAACATCTTCGATGAAGTAAAGTTTGGAGCATTTGTTGCCACAGCAAATATTTGGTCACTCATGGAAACAGGTACTTATTCTACAAAGCTCTTTGAATATTATTGTGCTTGCCTATTACATGTGCATCTGCTTTACCTTATAACATTTGTTGCCATTTTAATAAATTTAGTGAATTTATATGTGAAAGTTTCCCACATTTATTTGCCGATAAACTGAGGGGATTCTTCCGAGATCATTTATGAAGGCTAGATATCGGATCTGTGACTATGATTGATGGTTGATCATTATATATTGTGAAGGTAATCTGTTAAACCTAATGAGAGTGCTTTTGAGAGATTGGAGTTAAAGATGATAGGATGAGTTCAATAAATGTATTTTGAAGAGATGTTTTAGAGGCAGGATAAACCTGTCAGATTTGTTTTCCTTTATTTTTATTTTCGTAGGGTGGGGTGGGGGGGGGGGGGAGGCTTTTAGTGGAAGGAAACAAATATGTCATTTATTAGTTAATTAGTTAATTAGTTAATTAGTTAGTTAGTAATTAGTAAAAGTTGAAGCCTTTCTGGCTCTGAACAGACATTATCATCTGAGGATATTATACATGTACCTCATTAACATTTGTGCAGGATTAAAGCCCTTTATACTACTGCCCCTTAAGACCACCACTAATAATAATAATACTTTTGTCAATCCCAAGAAGCCTCATCAGCATCAAAGCTGTTCTTCCTGAGTGCCACACAATAATTGTTACCCCAGCATTACCAGGTACTCATTAACACCTGGGTAGAGAGTGGCGTAATATGGATAAATGTCTCGCCAATGGACATTAGTGGCACGGCTGGGGTTCAAACCCTTAACCCTTTGAATAAGAGTCAACTGAATGAACCACTATACCACAACACCTCCTTCTTGCTCATAGATGTACATGTAGAAGACAATATCATCAGAGTAGAGGAAAGCAAGGTGTACTTTAGGAAGCCTCACTTTCCATCATCGGCTGAACCAAGAGGACAGCTCGTGATTGGTTTGTTAAGAATCGCTTATTTGAAGAGCTCGGAGGTTTTTAACGGGGCTCTGCCCCCCATCTGTCCTTTCAGCGTGATAGATAATCCTTGTTACCCTCTGACAAACGTTGTTGAACCGTCCATCGATATCCTCAGCCTGAACACATCGGTCTGCGGTGCCGAAGCGATAGATGGTGTCAGATCGGAATGAAGATGCATGGTGGTTTGAGAAGGATTTGTTTGCATAGGAATCTTGTACCCCATACTGTTGATGTAAACAATTAGCTGTGTTTGTTCGATGAGTGACTTTTAGTCGATCATTCTACATGTAGCTGTATGTTTTCGTTATGGATTTTGTTGCCAGTTTTCGGTGTAGTTGTAGCTCTGTTTCTATGACTATATCTGTGTTGAGTGATAAGAATAAAATCCAGCGCTTGGGGGCTGCAGAACTTTCAATTTTGTTTGTGGCCCACTTTTGCAAAGTGTATCAATTGATATGAAACTCTTGGTCTATTTCTCTCTTTCTTTCACATGTCTTTCTTTTTTTACTCTCTTACTTAATATTTGTGTCCTCTATTTCTAAATTGTAAATGTCTGTCTTTTTCTACACTCTCTCTCTCTCTCTCTCTCTCTCACACACTTTTTTTTCTTTCTCCTTTCTCTCTATTTTCAACCCTTCTCCCTCTGCCTCTTTTCTCACTGTGTATCTTTTTATGCCTAAATTCCCCTTCCTCATTCTCTCTCTCTCTCTCTCTCTCTTCCTCTCTTCTCTTCCTTTTTTTCTCATCATACTTTATGCTCCCCTACGTATTTTCCAAGGACATGTTATGTAAACAAAGAGCATATTCTCTTTCTTCCAATTCTCTTTCCCATTGTACTTTACTCTTACCCCCACTCTTTATGACTTCAGTAAATGGCAGCATTTATTTCTTCTCCTCCTTTTTACTTTTTATTGAACTGTATTCATTATTTTCTCTCATCCCAATGGTAGGCCTACCCATCCATATCTCTTTGTGTTTCTCTCAATCTCTTTCTCATCCTACTTACCCCTCCCCATCTCATTTAAATATATACAAATTAGTGTGTATTTCATTTCTGCTCCATCTCGATACCACCTTTTAACTCACCGGACTCCATTCATCATGTTCCCACTTCCGCCCCCCTCATCCCATTCAGCACTGTGCATCCTCCTCCTCCATCTTGTTAACTGCCCATAAGGACATGAAGATAAAGCATCTTCTTAATTGACCCCATGCCCAGTGTTTACCCAGAGATGCATTATTTCTCATCAAATGAATCATTTCCACCCTGGAAGTTTGGAAGCCGGAGGATGGGAGGATGCGGTCCCGACAGCCTGTGTCAATGGAGATGTTTGCTGGGAATTGTCAGTGAATTGAGTGGGTTGTATCATGAAAAATGACCCCATATACATCAGGTCGGAGTGATTGTTCTCTAACCCCCCCCCCCCCCTTTGGTGTGTCTTTTTCTTAGTCATGTTTTTACATATCTTCTTCTTTTGTTCTTTTCTTCTTCTTCTTCGTCTTCTTCTTATTACCCCCCCCCCCCTTTATGTGTGTCTTTTTCTTAGTGATATTACGTGTCTTCTTCTTTTTTCTTTTTCTTCATCTTCCTCCCCCTCTTTTTCTTCTTCTCCCTCTTCTTCTTCTTTGTCTTCTTTTCTTCCCTTTCTTGTTTCTTCTACTTATCAATGTCAATGTGATTGGATTAGCATGTGTGCACCTGTAAAAAGAGTGACTGGCTGGAATGCTCCCCAAGGGAGTAGACAGTGTGAACTTGAGCTTTTTGAAGTCCAACTAAAAGTTGATTTTAGTCTTTGTGAAACACTCCCCTGATATGGATAAATTCCAGAGGGAAGAAAAAATAAGCATACTTTCAATTACAAAGGTCCTAGGATACCTTTCAGTAGACATTGTTCAAAAGAAGTTTGAGTTTTCGGAAAGGTGAAATATATTTTTTGAGCTATCTTAGTCGTTTTTTGTTAGTGTTGCAGAATATCAGTGGAAAAAATATGTCTCTTGAAAAGGATTGATCTGTAATGCCACATGTTTGTGTATTACTATATAGTACATATGTATGTACAGTTCATGTGACTTTCAAGAAGACTATCAATTTTGTATAATTTTGATGATTCAAAGCTTCACAGTATACACCAATACGTAATGCTAGATGACCAACCTTTTCTAAATCACTTCCACACAGAACTCAACTTTAGCAATTGGTGTTGTCTCACTAATATCCAATCCTCCTAACCTTCCTAATACCCAACCCCAAGCTCTACCTACCATCTCTTCACATGAATGACTAACAGTTCCTTTGATACCAAGCTCTATCTTTCCTTCTCATTTTGTTTCAGCATTCGGCAGCTCCCTGTGCATTTCCTGGAGCTGCCTCTGCAGTGCCGCCTGTGCCGTCTTACCGGGATCCAAGCCCCTGCAGACCTACCACCTAACACACCACTGCAGGCAGGTACCCAGTGGCCAGCAGCTGCCATTAAGAGAGTTGTGGAGATGGTGTCCAACAAAGTTCTGGTCGCAGCTGTAGAGGTGAGATTTCAGTGTAAACATAATGTTTTTCAATTTTATGTGTTATGCCATTGCCCAACTAAGGTGGTATAACGGCATTTTTTTTCTTAACGGTTAACTCCTTTTTTCCCCTCGTTTCCCTTTTTTTTTCCCTCTTTTTTTTTTTTTTTTTTTTTTTAAATTGTCATGATTTATTCATTATTATGACTATCATTAATATTTGTTTTGTGTTATGTTGTTGAGGGGAGGGGCATGTTGCAATATCTAACAAACATCTTGAACATCATTCAAACTATGTTACACCTTAAGAAGACCATCTTATTAGATTTTGAGTCAAAGGTCAAAGATCATATAGAGGTCAATTTTTATCAAATTCCAGATTTTTAATCTCATTATCGTGATATATCAAGAACCATTTGAACCATGTATTTCGAACTTGGTAAAAGTATACATAATTTAATAGTGAGACAAGCTGATTAGATCTTGGTGTAAGAGGTCAAAGGTCGCAGAGGTCTATTCCATAAAATTTTGGGTTTCAGTCTCATCGTAATATCTCAAGAATCATTGGAGGTACATTGTAAGACGTCCAACTTTATCCCTGTATGCACCACTCATGAGACTCATGTCTATGTGTCTGTTAACTGTAAATATGAACACACGCATACATTCATCATCAGTAGATATGAACACAAACATATACATTCATCATCAGGAGATATGAACACACAAATATACATTCATCATCAGTAGATATGAACACACATTATGCATTCATCATCTGTAGATATGAACACACATTATGCATTCATCATCTGTAGATATGAATACACACATACATTCCTGTTCAGTAGATATGTATACAAATATACATTCATCATCAGTAGATACATGTATGAACACACACATACATTGATCATCTGTAGATATGAACACACATATGCATGCATTCATCATCAGTAGATATGAACACACACATGTATTCATCATCAGTAGATATGAATACACTCATTTGCACATGCATATGACATCTGTATATATAATGAAATGATGATTGCATTTTTCATCATTTTGTAGATATGTCATTAGAACTTTTTTTCTTTGGTAGATATGAACAATCATATTTGGTATCCGTAAATATGAACACATGACTATCTGTAACTGTGAATGTGAAAACATGATTGCATTTTTGTTAGCATTACATACATGTATGAACTTCAGGTGATCAGTAGACATAAACACATGTTCATCATTCAGTAGATATATCTTTTAAACGTCTTTAATACTCTTTGTGAATGCCCAAGTGGTTTAGATTCGCAACAACTTTATTTACACAACACTATACTTTCTGCAGGTTGAGAAAATTTGTTGCTGTGAAAAGTTGTCCTAAACTTGTTGCAAAAGATTCATGTTGGAAAACTTCTTGTTTCATTTATTTATAAGATGATATTAAGATGAGGTCAAAATATTTCATGTTTAGAAGTACATACATCAAATACATGTACTCCATTGTAAACCCTTTTATATGTGAGAATTTTTTAATTACTTTCTCTAAAAGAAAATCCCTGAGATACAAGTCTGGAGGCATTTCCTTTACAATTACTTGGAGGGGACCCATAATATGCGGGGATGAAATAAAAAGGTTTTATGGAAAACCATGTCACTTGTCATCCACCATGCTTTCTTAAAGAAAGAGTTGGGTTTGGGTCAAAGATATAAAATGATTTGCAAGAATTCTCATACATTGTATGACATGTCAGTTTATGAGAATATCATAGAGCAGAAATGTCTCCTGAAAAACGATCTCAAAATTGCCCGATTATTCAAAATGTAACAAGAAGCTGAAAGTTTGGTCCAAACATTTGTGTGTAGTCCCATATATTCATGCCTGTTTGCAATGCATGTGATCTCTAGCAAGACCAAGTCAATTTCTTTTCATTGTGACCATTCCTAAACTTCAAAGTACATATCAATTTGTATGTACTGCACAAACATTGTAATCAACTTTTCCCAGTAGGCCACTTTCGTAATGAAACCAAATTCAATGCATAAATCTTTGTTGAGTGCCATGAAACAAATCATTTCATTCACCTGTTACGAATAGGATGGGAATTGCATACATAACGTGTTGTTAGGTAGGGCAAGCCATAGTGTTTGTCCTACCTAGCAGCAATTTGCATTCTGACTAAATTGCAATTTAAATATTCGTAACAGGTGAATGAAATGATTTGTAACAGCGCACTTAACAAAGATTTATGCATTGAATTTCGATTTCATTACGAAAATGGTCCATTGCTTCCAGGCAGTTCCCTTCACGATGTAATTGCATGGCCAGGACTCAACTTTATCTTTTAAGATTCCTCATCGGAGAAATGACAGATAGATGGGGGCAGCATTTCTTAAGGTGTCGTCTGGACAATTTGCTGATTTGATGGTTATAGAAAGTCTGATGTCTCAGAGTCGGCCTGTGTTACTTACAAAGAGGAAAATCAAACTTAATTATTCATGAAAATCTCGGTATAAAGCAAGCCCTCTGGCCTTAATGTTAATAGGTCATCTATATTCCAGAGGCAACTGATATATCTTGTTATATTCCGAAGGAGCAACGCTCTTTAGTTCCCCTTTCTGAAAACAAAGTACTGTTGTCTGCCGAGACCCAGAAGGAAATTATCCAATATACTCCAATATACACCCTTCTAGGTCCCGACAAACAACACTACGTGTATGTCTACTTTGCTTTAAGATATTGTTCGCCAAGATATATTGGTGAATTGGTGTTTGAAATGAAATATGTTGCTTCAAAACACCGTTTGAAGGAACAGTTCATCAGACTAAATCTCAGACGGAGCGAAGATTTGCCTGAAATATAATGATAAAACTCTGAGATTAAGCTGTAGAGGATTTGTTCAGCATTTAAATGTATATCTAGGGATAAAATGAAATTGACTTTCTACAAAAGAGAATTCATCTTACAATGTATATGCACATTATTTCTTTTACCAGCGAGGAGTTTGGTAACATAATGAGTGTTTAAATGTGGGGATTTTTAAGAGCTGAGCACATAATCAAGGATAGTCTTATTGAAAAAAGAAGCTTTGATACTGCTTGAGTCATCTAATCATTGCTTATGCTGGTGAAAATGTTATACATGACAGTTGACTGCATTATTTAGCTGTAAAATGTATTATATGAAAAGAAGGGAAAAAAGAATATATTTCATATTATCCATTGAGGGTTTCTCTCCTTTTTCTCTAACTGACATTTTTTCTCTTGTACTGATTTCTTACCCTAAAGTATTTATCTATTAATTCTTTTTTTAATTCATTTTCATTTGTGAATTTCTTTATTTATTTTAGTTTTATATATTCATTCACTCATTAAATCAATCAATTCATTCATTTAGTTATTTTACTTCACCAAATACATAGAAAGCTATGTGTAATTTGTAGGCAATTTTTCTGCGATGTAATTCTAGGTGGGTTTGCATGAATTGAGCTTACCGGTGCAGTCGCCATCCACGTTTAGCACTGGCCAGTGCACTTTTACATAGTACATACAGTGCCTCCTCAGTATGCATTCAAGAGGAGAGATTTCAAACCACTTTAAGACTCTTAAAGATTTCCACATTTCATACCTTTTATACCTTAAAGCCTTCCCGACATCGCCCGGTAATCTGGCCATTTGTCATGTCGCCAAAACTTCACGATTGCTCGGAGAAAGCTTGTAAGCAGATTATGCGTTGCAAATCAGGAAACTCCTTTTCCTGACGGCGGCTCTTTCCTCTTTTATGTATAACCAAGATCATCATTAATGCATCTGATAATATTCCCTCCGATGCTCGTGGGTGGAATCACGGCCAGACGTAGAGGAAATGCACTGTAGTAATGGAAATCGACTGTAAATGTATGAAATTATGATAGTGCTTGTAGTAGTATTACCACTTTTTTGGGGTGAAGGACAATAGTGCAACAATGCAAGTGCAGGGTCTTGTAGAAATGTCCTTGGCGGGTGTTTTAAACCCTTGATTGGTGATGCAAAGGTTGTTGGTTCGAGCCGGCCCAGCGTTCCTCAGGGGCAGAAGTGTTAAATTTATACTAGGGCAAATACAATGTTCAACAGTAGATGGCGACCATCCTCCCAAACTGCAGGTCAGCTCATGTTTCGATACGATACTTGGGAAGATAACAAGACAAGGTTTCTTTCTTCTTCCATAGAATAATAAATTTTTGTTTGAGATCTATGTAGGCACCATCATAATCTTTTGCTTGTATTTTATTGGCTCAGAAACTATAATTTCTATCGGACTTTCCAGTTCTCAACCAAATGCCTTTGCCAAATATTCCCATGGCCGGTGCTGCCCTCTATGGCCAAATACCGTAGATGTGGTAGCGAAAATTGTATTTGATTAGGAGTCCATGAACAGTGTAACTTAAACCATTCTGGTTTTATGTATATGTAGCTGTGGTTTACACATTCTGTCATCTATCAGATTTATTTTACTAAAATATTCAGTCCGCATGTGAATTATTCCATAGGGGATGGCACCTGAATTTTTTTTTTTTTTTATACTTTGTTTTGTTTTGTGCCAGGTGAGGGGGGAGGGTAGGCAAAAAATATAATGTTTGTGTCATTAATATCTTGAGAGAAAAAGAGCCTGCATGACATTTCCAACACTACAGAATTTGTTGAAGTACGTCCACCTATTTTAAGCCACTACACAAAATCCATCATTTGTTATACACTGACCTTTTATCTCCAAGATTACAATACATTAGACCATGGTAATACCACCAAAAATACATGCATTTGCTAAGGGCTATCTTCATTTTAATCCATTACAAAAATATGACAGAAGGGGAGAGTTACATTAACACGTCAAAACATGTATATGAAAGTCATGAGTCGCTGCTCTACCTATAAAAGCTGCTCTTCTTTTCTACCTTGCATGCTCATTACATACAGTTTCAATAAAGTTTGAACAATTCTTTGAATACAGGATCGATAATGTAAATTTTAATGTAAGTGCATGGAAAAGCAGAAACATATATATACCACAGTGACAAAAAAGACATAGGAAAGATAAGTCCAAATCATAATGATCACCAGATTGTAACAATGGAAATTCCTTCTCAAAAGTTCAAGAAAATGGCGGGCTTAACTTTTTAGAATACCCCACAAAAACGTAGTATGTCCATTGGTCATCAAACAAGCCATCATCACTATAGTCCTGTCTGTTGGTATTACACATGAGTTTTATGCATGTACTTTCGCCCATTACACATCTAAATATCGTATATTGAGTATGTTTTATGTTAAAGAATATTTTTGTATTTTTTAGTAATGATCCACTCTTCAAATCACTTGAAAATAGTGAAAAATCACTGTAATTACTGTCCAAAAATAAAATACACACACAATCAAGAACGGCACACACAGAGCTGCTGCAAGAAATAGACCGGAAAAAGCGACTTGGCGACCAAAAATATCCCCAGAGTGCATATGAAATGGGGCTTGGTGACAGCAAAACTTTGAGGTGCTGTATGCGGACAGGAAATAGAGGGGGCTAGTTTTGTTATGAAACAAAGTGGTTAAAATGCAATTAACTGGTTGTCGATTTTCTCTCAAAGGAAGAGAGATTTTGAGAAAAAGTGCGGAAGTGGGTACAAAAAAAAACCTGGGGGGGGGGTGTTTCACAAAGATCCTAAGTCAAACTTAACTCTAAGTTGGACTTAAAAATAAATAATGGAGAGCCATCTGTAGCCTTAAAATAAAATATATTCAAAAGTGAAAATTCAAGTATTTTAGACTTTTCCGTCGGTGTTAGTGAGATGGATGTAAAAGAAAAAGGAAAGGAAAGAGGCAAGATATATCCACTATTCAGCCTCAAATACAATGAATTGATTGCTTATTTTCTCTGGGAGGTTGAAATACAGCAGGGAAATCCGATGTCATTAGCTGTGCTTCTCACCACCAGACAGCTCTTTACTAATATGATATCATCTTTCACCGTCGGTCGATGCTCGCCACTTATGCAAGTCGTTATTTAAACAGTGGCGTAAAAACGTCGACCAGAAAAAATATATCCTACCGATACTGGAATTGAAGTTTAATGTTCTGATGAAGATAGACATATCAGTTGCGCTTTGAAGCTGTTTAAATACCACAAATGCTTTGCGCCATGAATAAAGTAAATACAATAATGCTTGTAACATCATTAGGGCAAATCTTTTATAAGCATTAATTTAAGGCACAACATGGAGCAAAATGGAAAGAAGTGGTGAAAAGAAAAAAAATGGTAAGTTGTTTTCTAGTGAGAGATTAAATGAAGGGTAGAGGAAAATGCCAAGAAAACTACCATATCAGGCTGAAATACATACTTCAAGTATAGGTTGGAAGTTTGTCATGATTTTGCACAAGAATATGTACTTGTTGCCCAAATCTCCAAGTTATGCCATTTTTGAATTGGCAATTAACATTCATTTCATGATGTTATTAATTTCTTCATCATTATATAATAGAGATTGACTATTATCTTTGCATTTTCTAATTCTGAAGAAACACAAGGTTTGAAGAACAATTACTGTAAATCCAGAAACTATTGCTGAATTCCTGCTTCCCCTCCCGAACCCCTTTACAAAAAAATGACATGAATTATTGACTGTCACTTGAAACTTCCACATCGTCAGCTAAGCCACTTTTTCTTGATGCTTCATCAATTTCTCACATTATACCTTTGTGCACCTGTGTTAGTCGTAGGAGAGGGAAATTCCCAATTCATGCCATTTTTCAATTGGCAATTAACTCTCATTTCATGTTATTGATTTCCTCATCAATATTTTGGATTAGTAAAACAAAAATGTTTAACACTAGAGATTGACTATTTCCTTTGCATTTTTCTAATTCTGAAGAAACATAAGATTTGATGAAAAATTAATGTAAATCCAGAAACTATCGTTGAGTTCCTGCCCTCCCCCCCCCCCCCCCCCCCCCCCCCCCCCGCCCATGAACAAAAAAATTGAAAAGAATTATTGACCATCACTTGCAACTTCCACATCCTCAGAGCTAAGCCACTTTTTCTTGACGCTTCATCAATTTCTCAATTTCTCACGTTATAACTTTGTGCACCTGTGTTTGTTGAAGAGGGAGGGGATGTTTTAAGCAAACTTACTTGAAATATATCCAAATAGCTTTCTTGATTTTTGCAATGTAACATTAATTCATTACATTATCCTAGCCGAAACGGGAAACTAACATATCCACATCCTCAAAGATTTTCTTTAGCATTCCTTCCACAGATCTGCTAATGCATTGATCTGCTAATCGATTTTTAGAATGTTCCCTTTTTTGGAATGACTTTAATTGAGAAATGAGCAGCACTTCCCCGGTTTCTTTTCCCAAACGCTTGTGTCTGCACACTCATTGATTTCTACATGGCCTATGGACGTTGTGAAGTATCGACAAATGCACTCAGGGTTTGTCATTTCAAACATTTACCCCATGCAGGCATGTTTGCTAGATCCATGGAGAATTGGATTTATTGAAACTGAAGCTTCTTAAGATACACAGCTTAGATCCAGGTTTTTTTCGTCAGGATCTGTGTGCTCATTCTGTCTTGAACCTTGCAGATTGCCTTTTAGTTGTTATGCTACCGTCTATCTTTATTTGTTTAAAAGTCATTTATGTTATATTTGCCTTTTGTCATTTCTTCCTTTTTGTTTTTTTTATAATTTTTCATTGTCTATCACCTTCCTTCCTTGCTTCCTTCCTCACTTCCCATTTCCCTCTCTCTCCTTGCTGGTTTCGTCCTTGTTCCCGTCCTGACATGTCCTTACCTTCCTCCCCTCCTTATTCATTCCTTACTTCTCTCTCTCTCTCTCTCTCTCTCCCCTCTCTCTCTCTCTCTATCTCTCCCTCTCTCCCTCTCTCTATCTATCTCTCTCCTCTCTCTCTCTATCTCTCTCTTCTCTTTCACCTCTCTCCTTCTTCTTTTTCTTCTTCTTCTTCTTCTTCTTCTTCTTCTTCTTCTTCGTCTTCTTCTTCTTCCTCTTCCTCTTCCTCTTCCTCTTCCTCTTCCTCTTCCTCTTCTTTCTCTTCCTCTTCCTCTTCCTCTTCTTTCTCTTCCTCTTCCTCTTCCTCTTCCTCTTCCTCTTCCTCTTCCTCTTCTTCTTCTTCCTCTTCTTCCCATTCTCTTCTTTCCTCTTCTTCCCATGCTCTTCTTCCCTTTCCTACTCATTCTCTTCTTCCCTTTCCTACTCATTCTCTTCTTCCCTTTCCTTCCCTTTCCTTCACATTCTCGTCTTTCTTTTCCTTCTCACCCTTCCACCCTCCCTTGTCTATCCCTCTTTTCCTCTGTGAGATACTACCCAAAACTTCCCGTTTATTACATTTTGAAGAGGGAGGGTAGGATAACTGGTGACACGACATTTGCTCCTACGACAATTGCTCCGGGCTTTATTTCGTCTAAGATGTAGGGTTAGGGTAAGGGTTTCAATAGGGTTTTATGTTAGGTTTAGGGTTAGGTTTAGGGTAGGGTATAGTGTTGAATCCAGGGTTGAAGTTAGCCATTCGATTAGTGTATGAAATTTACAGCGGAGCAATTGTCGCCGGAGCAAATGTCATGGAATCATGATAACTCCCTTCAATGACATTTGTTGTGTTCATCCTTGTCTCTTCCTGAAATGCACCATAGTGCTACAATTGCTGGAGCTAAAGCTGGGGTACTATTATCCAGAGTTCTCTGGAAGCGTATAGAGACGTTGTATCAGAATGTTATATATGCTATAGGAAAACAGATTTTTATTATTATTGTTATTATCATTATCAATTTATCATTTTTGTTATTAATAAGGTCCACGGTTTGAGACCTGCCACGGCACTAATGTCCTTCGGCAAAACATTGATCTACATTTGCCACACTCATCCCAGGTGATGTTAATGGGTACCTTTGAAATGCTAGAGCGCCGTAATGGCAGCACAGCTAAAGCCGGGGTAATAATCTCCAAGTTTGGAAGCGCTTAGTGAATGTAATAAGTGCTATATAAAAACTGAGTATTATTATTATTATTATTATTATCAGTATCATTATCAATTTATCATATTATTATTATCATTATCAATTTATCATATTGTTATTATTATCATTATCAATTTATCATATTGTCATTATCATCAGTTTATAATTATTTATCCCCTCTTCACCTTTGCAGGAGGATGGTCCGATACCAATGATCAGTCTCTATCAGGATACCACCCAGACACTTCCAATTTACTACCCCCTCGTAGAAGAAGGCTTAGCCGACACCCCTGCGAACTCTGAAGAGCAGCTTGTCACCGCGGCCTTCAAGGAGGTAGGGCGCATCCTGTCTGCGGGGAGAGGACAGGGACAGAGGAGACCAAGGCTGAAGGGGTCGGATCGGAGGAGGTCGGCGGCAAGTGTGAGGTTCTGTCCGAGGAACCCAAGATGGTTCCCTCAGGGATGGAAGAATGATGGTGCGTTCACATCCTCTTCCCCCCCCCCCACGTGCAGGTGTGTGTGTGTGTGTGTGTGTGTGTGCCTGCATAGATGCATGTTTTCAGGCAATAGCCTGTATTCAAGCCCTGATACCTACAGTATTATGCTTTTCCGAAATAATAATTAAAAGCTATGTTTATAAAATGTTTTTTTAGATTTGATTTGCTTGCAATTTTATACCATTAGGAGTGCAGGTTGGATGTTTGCAAATGGTTTAATTCTTGGCATTGCTATCGGTCTTGTGGTATAGCTTGTATGACACCCCCCCCCCCAAAAAAAAAAAAAAAAAAAAATAATAATAATAATAATAATAATAATGATAATAATTATTTAAAAAATAATAGTAAAAACAGCAACTACAACAACAAATGAGTTAAATAATAATAATCATCATTTTGATTACCGGTAGTAGTTTTTTTTTTTTTTTTTGGGGGGGGGATGTTCGCTCATGTTGCTTTTTACTGTCCTAAACAAGAAGAATAAAGGGAATGAAATAGTATTAATCAGCAGTAAGGAAGAGAGAGAGAGACAGACAGACAGACTGTTGACGGACAGAGAGACAGAGAGATAGAAGGAAGGCTATATAATCATATACATGTAAACAGAAATGATAGACATAAGAGTAAGGCTGTGCAGGGTAGTCGAATGCTCGAGTACCCGCACGGTTGACAACTACTCGGTACGATTTCTCGTACCCGAATATTCGGCCGCTAAAAAAAAAAAAAAAAAAAAAAAAAAAATTAAAATGTCCAGGCCGACACTTACCCGTGCCTGGGTGAGCGGCGGCCGCTGGCATGGTGCCGTCGGTAAAAATGTTTCCCAACTCGAGCACTGTCAAACTCACCACTCAGAAACTGGGACCAAATGTCTGGATTTCTGCTTGGACTTGGAGGAAAATGGATTATTCTGCCATCTTTGGTTTTTAAAACAGCATTGTTCACTGTTATTATTATTATTAAATGGGCGCCTTCAACTGCAACTCAAAGTAAAATTGCATGCGTTTTCGGCGACAGAACTGGGATACTGCTCCAGTTGTTGTTGTGGTATGTATGGTGGTGGCAACAAAAAAAAAAAAAATCCAAAAAAAAAATCCAAAAAAAAAAAAAATTCAAAAAAATTCAAAAAAAACAAAAAAACAAAAAAAAAAACATGGCGTCCGAATACTCGAGTATTCGCTTGTAAGCATGGGAGTGTACTCGGGTACCTCATTACACTGTTGTGCACAGCCTTAGTTACATAAGAGACAGAAAAAAAGATAGAAAGACTGGGAACACAGGACACAAGAGAGAAGGCAAGAAAGAAAAAAATAGACGGACAGGGCATGAGAAAGCTTGAAGGAAGAGAGGTGGGATGAGAGGTTGAGAAGGAGGAGGAGAGGATATGTGTCAAGCTGTGTGCTCTCCTAAATTGCTTGAGATGTGACAGAAACTCCATGCCTTCAACAATAATGCAAAACTAATTTATCAAAATCTGTGTTTTCATAAATAACATTTCTTAGAATGTCACTTTCCCTGAGGAAAATAACCTGGTTTTTAATAATTTTGTGATAGAGTCTAGCCTATATGTATCTGTAACCCAGGAATATCCGGCTTTATGAGACGAGGCCTAGAGCATGCTACATTATTTTTTATAAATAAAAGTGTTATTTTCATCCTTTTTCATTTGGAAATTACCTTGTTTTTAAATTGATTTGAGGGGAATGATAACTTCATGACTCTGATACGACCCTAGATAGACATTTACAAGTACATGTTTATTTAAATTTTAAAGATTAGTGCCAATAGCTGATAGGCATTCTGTTACAATGGCTTTTAATAGCTTTCTCTTCGACATTATTCCTTGATTCCATTGTTCAGTGTATTCACCTGTCTCACTAGAGGCAGTCCTTTCTCAACTCCCTCAACCCCTTTATGAAGAGGAAGCAACTTAAGCCTTGTTCGATTATGAAGTGGTAGACCTCTGCATTTTTTTTATGATGACGTAAGGGTGTTATGTTTCACGTTTCTGTATGTTGTAACAATAGGCCTGTCTTCACTATCTCGAGATTGCCAAATATCTAGCTATTTGAACTATCCCGATCGCAAACTATCCAGCTAATTTGCGTCTTCATCAGACCGAAGTAGCAATTAGAAGGATATTTGGGCAGGATTGTCATCCCAAGATATCTTGGGAAAGTTTGCAAAATATCCCACTATTTGGCAAAATATCCAGCTATTTGTCCCGTGCGTCTTCACTAGACCAAAGATTCGCAATACGCGCTAACGCTGAGCAAAATATCTCGAGTTAATTTCTCAAGGTCGAGTTTCAAGTTTTGAGGTCGAATCTCGAGATAGTGAAGACGCAATTTGTTACTTCGGGATTATTTCCGAAATCAGAAATAGCGGGCTATTTGGCAATCTCGAGATGATGAAGACGCGATTTGTTACTTCGGGATTATTTCCGAAATCAGAAATAGCGGGCTATTTGGCAATCTCGAGATGATGAAGACGCGCCTAAAGAGCTCAGTGAATACACCTGGGACTTTGTTGCACCCAACTCCCATCCATTGTTTTAAACAAAAACGCCGGGGGTTAGCACTTTATATCTGAACAGGCCGTAATGAAATGAATTATTCAAGGAACTTTGGGGTGTGTTAAAATCTGATTCTAGTTGCAAACTTGAAATGGCAGACCTTAAGGGTAGAGGTCAAACAAACCAATTGTGATCTGTCATGAAGTGTGAAGAATAATTCCTTGATTTTTCCCCTTCTCTATCACCTCACTCCCCCCCCCCCCCCCCTCCTCTACTCACAGGCATCATCAGGGTAATTAACAAATGACTGGAAATGTCTTCCGTTACTGCAAGGGAAGCAGTACCACTGGCCAAACTTTTGGAATTCATTTAATCCTATTTTGGTGTTACTGACAGGACAAGAATAATTCACAATTTTAAGAATTCAACCTAAAACTGTTTTTCTTCTTCTAATCTTCACGTTATCCTTATTAATTGTTGATAACCTAAAAAAATGGAACACTCTATGCCTTTGTCATTTTATTTTCCTTAGGCATTTTGGTAATTTTGTACATGTACACTCTGGGGGAATATGCCTGAAATACCTGCAGGTATCATTTTGATAGTGTTATTTCATTAGGTATTTGAAATGAAGTTGTGTCAATTCTGTCATTGTCGTACATTTGTATGGCAGTTTGACCCGACCCAGAAATGACAACATACTTTGTATTAAAGCACCTAGAGCATTCCTGCAACATTAATTATATTGTTGTTTAAAAATAAGTGGAACTAGAACATGTCACGTACTGTAGAGATGGTTATCATACCTTTCTAAGAATATTGATCTGCGTATTTTCCAGGGAATTTTGTCTGATGTTGTTTTGTTTTTAAATAATCTTGGCATAACAAAAACAATCAGGTAGGGCCAGAGAAACTCATTGGTTCTCTCAAGATATAAATCACCAATTCACCCGGAAGAAAGAGACATAATATCATTGTGTGTCTGAAAGGAGGGCGTTGGCAAGCGTGCATGCCACAAAGCAAATTCCTGGTAACTCGCTTCTCTGATTTTGATTCATCTATACATAATTTTGAAAGATGACAGGGATTTCTTTCTTTATTGACTAATAACAAAATTAATATGATTGATATATCCCTGACAAGTAGTTTTGTATCAGATAAGGACATATTTTTATGAAGTTACAGGCATTTCAGTGTAACAACCTACATTTACTGATTTAGCACAATGGTGCGTACACGCTTGTGCCAGCCGGCCACAGACAAATATCATTTCATCTAATCCGGGATTTCCCGCAGAAATGGATCATGCCCTTGCGCTACAGGTCTCGCACCTGAGATGCAGGGGCGAAGATAATGGGAGGTAGAGGGTATCACCCGGTGTGATGATCTGCTAATGAGGATATTACTTAGGCTGATTGATGTCATGGGGTCTGTTCGGCGTGGCCAAGGCATCGGGGGAGGAACTCCCTCGACTCCTCAGACGAAAGAGGAAGTATAGGAGATGAGGTTGCCGTGGCGATGAGCACTTCTCGTCCCCCTCGGCTGCGTGACCTTAAATGTTGAACTTCCATGGGGGTTTTGTTTGACTGGTGTAATATCAGATGAATCCCAAGGTCTTATATTGCTTTTCTTTGTCTCCTCTTGCTCTAATGTGCTGCAGCTTAACTTTTGTATCAAAATCTTAACTTCAAACTCCTCTGAGAATCGTTGAACTCCTGACAGGTCTTCTTCTTAGAGAGGAAGGCCATCCTGTTATAAAATACAGAAACAGAAATGTGACAGAAACAAAAATGTGGTGAAATCATGGACGGATCAAGAAGTTTTTGTTAGGAAATCCATGAAAGAATCAAGAAAGTTTGAGTTTTTAAAACTGTAATTGATCAAACAAATGTAGAGTCTACTCTGATTTCTCCTGCAAACACCTCTTCATGCAGTTGATTGATAAATGATAACTATCTGAATATTTTTTTCTCAACTGTTAATAAAAAGGAAAAAATCAATTTCTTAGTGGTAATGTTAAAGGCATTTGCCCATTACCATTACCAAGGTATGTTATACAAATACAAATATTGACTGCTTTTAGGGGCACGGTTAAAACTATTGCCCAAGGTGATCTTGAAACTGTACTGTCCCCTGAGACAAAGTTGAGAGGCAAAGTGCTGTCTCGAGATCACCAAGGGGCTTTAGTTTTAACCATAACCTGAAAAATATGCAGTCAATATTTTTTTAATATCCCGCATCCCAAGTGTCAATTCTTAAAAAGATATCCAATCTCGACTAAAAATATTTTTAGCTTTTTCAAACACACCGAGTGTTGACTACCACAGTCAGAGTATTCCAAGAGGTTTTATCCAACATGTTATGTGGCCAGGGGGGGTGTTTCACAAAGACTAAGATTGACTTTAAGTTGGACTTAACTATGGTAGGCCACTGTTTACTCTAATATCATGATCTTACGATATTATTTTTTCCTTCAATAATGAACCATCAACAAATAAACATTCTGTCGATAAATTGTGACCACTATTTATACGTCCCTTCAGAGACCAATGCCAGTAAATGGTAAGAGCAAACAGTGGCATTAAGGGCCTGCCATAGTTAAGTCCAACTAAAAGTCGATCTTAGTCTTTGTGAAACACTCCCCTGAACAATCTTGAGCTTCCTCCTTGAAAGTGAATGCTTTATAAAAACAACATTTTACAATAATCCAGGAAGAATGTAACAAAAGCATCTCCATGCCCTCAAACTTTGTTAGCTCAACCATGCTAGGAAAACCTTTTTATTGCAGCTATTCAATTGACCTGAGGCAAACCAAAACACAGAAGATTCTGTCAAAATTTACTGTTTGGTTGATTTCATACTTCCTTGGAATTATAGTTGTGTAACATAAACTATGTATACGGTAGGCTTGCGGGTGCACCATGTAGTTATAGAAACATATGATCTCTTGGAGTTGCTATTTCTAACTCGTGAGGATTACCTTATCAGATAAAAAAAAGGGGAGAGTGTGAATGTACATGTAACATTACCTCCTACGACTGTGTGAGGCTCTCCCACGTGACTTCGCAATTGTTTACAAAAAACAATGTTTTGGGCCTCGGGGGAGGAAATTAAGAAGCAAGAAGGTGTATTTAAAGAAAACTCTCTTTCTATGTGAACTTTCAGCATCATTCATCTACTTTAAATCTAAGCCTATGAAAAGAGCAATAGTTCCCTATAGAAGCATTCAAATTATGGATTTTATTTCACATCTTAGTCCGTGAGAAAAATCAAAAATGAGGTACTTGCTGTATTATATAACTATCATAGCAACCTTCTTCGGGGTTATGGGGGAAATAGAGACAGATGATAGAGAGAGACAGACAGACAAGGAAGGAGAGATTGAGACGGACATGCATATGGGCAGAGAGAGAGAGAGAGACAGACAGAGACAGATAGAGGGCGAGAGAGAGAGAGAGGGGGGGGGTGTTGAGCAGAATCACATGACACATGTTACAATAACAATTGCTCTGCTGTCGATTCCTCACACTAACCCATGTCTTAATTTCAACATTAGACGAAACACTTTACCCCAATATATCCCTAACCTATGATATTGCATTTAACATTAGTGCTTTTGATATATATATGCTTGTAAGGGATAATATTTCCAATCAACAAATAAATCTCAACACTTTGCCTACAGACATTCAACATGAGGTATTAAACTAGGTGGTCTGTGTATTAAGCTTATGGGAACGAGTTATTCTAGTAGTCAACTGATTAACTTTTTCTTCTTGGTTTCTATCTTTGCAGGTATAAACTGAACTTTTTGGAGGAAAGGGAGAATCCATTCTTTGCATAGATACAACTCATCAGGATTCAGGATTTCTTGCGGTAGATGCATTCTACAGGACTATAGTATTTGCCGAGAGACCAGAAAGGCTGAAACTCTATGTTAAAGTATATGATTTAATTCCATTCTGACACTTTGGCATGCAGTATATGGTGTATTTGTTGAGAATAAAAGTGATGTCCAAATTTTTCTTGTTCATATGCAGCTAATTGTAAATTACATGTATTTCTATTATATGTCTTTCTCTCCCTCTCTCTCCCTCTCTCTATGTTTCTTTCTCTCTCTCATTTTCTTTATTTATCTTTCTGATATTTCTTTCACTGTTTGCCTTTTGTTTTCTTCCCATGTAGTTTGTCTTTCTATTTTTTTATTTTCAAAAATCTTTTTGTCTACCATTACATCAATCTCTGTTCCTTTAGTTTTTCTCTCCTAATTTTGTTACCACTGTACTTATCGGTTTTGGTTTGTTTGGTTGGTTATTTTGAGACGGTCATCATAAACTTTGACAGTCTGTAAACATACTTGTTTTGTGCCATTGGTGACATCATGATTGTGTTATTCACTCTAAGAGTAAGGTCTACAAGTTATGTGTGTTTTGACGTCAGCATGGTATACAAAAGAACTTCATATTCACATGATTTCATGAATGGCTTGGTTGAATATCTTGTTCATAATAAAGTTACTTTCAAACAAGAATAGTTTGTAATGCTGATGTGAATGTAAGATCACCTTATTTTTCATGTTAACAAACAAGGTTGCCAATTCCACAAGATCACCTCCGAACAGAATTGCCTTTTTGCATCATCCATTCCTTCCAAGTCCAAGCTATTAAAGTTCATACAATAACAACTACATCAGGGGTACTAGAAAATAGGCAGCAATCTTGTAGTGTGATACCACCACGACATGGCACAACATAATTATTTCAGATCCAATAGTATGGTAATATGACACAATCATCTTGCATGAGTAAGTGAGAATATAAAAACATGGAAAAACTTCTGTAATGCAAGTTTAAGCACTGATGTCTCTCTTGTTAGTATATTATCATACCTGATGTTGATATCATTGAAAAACCTGTTTATTCCCATTTACAATGATGCCCCATTTTAATGATTATGTAATCTTGGAATATCAATGTTTCAAAATGCATTGTTATTGTCAATAGTAAATCTCCATTTGTTTGTAGGATGTAGTGTGTCTCTGAAGGAATAACGATGCCTTTTTTTTCAATGAGTATTATATGTTTTGCTGCTTCACTCTCAAGGTTTATGAGACAAGTAGGGATGTCTTTATCTCTGCTGAGAGCCAGTTTATCTTGCATTACCAGGGTGTGCCTAATTTTATTTGTATTGTCTTAAGCTAAATGTGAATATTGATGAATGTACAAAAGGACTTGTTTTGCTATTACCTAAAGAAAAACATACTAGCAAGTTTAAAAGAAGTTGTGTTCTGATTAAATGATTATTTCAACAGTATTATGAAGAGAGTTGTGGAGGAGGATACAAAATCAAAATGTTTTTTTTTTTTTACAGTGAACGCATTTATATAAAACTGTTATGATCCAGAGATATGGATTTCAATATTTATCTTTGTGTTTTTAAAAGCGTATTGTTTCAGAATATATATGAGGATATGTTTGTTTAAAACACTGTTTTCCATACTATGTCAAAGGCTACTTATTTTGTGCGAGCCACAAGTTGTTGGCATATGTAAAGAGAAAAAATAATTAAACTGTGTTTCACTTGAGAGCTGAGTTAACGACCTTGCCCTTGTTTTTCCTTGTGTTCTCGTAGCATGTGGGTGCTATATATGTTTTTTTCTATATCCTGTATTTATTTCCCACCCCTCTCTCGTTCTCTCTCTCTCTCTCTCTCTCTCTCTCTGTCTCTCTCTGTCGCGCGCGCACACACACACACACCCTCACACACTACGCACACTTTATTTCTCTCGCTTTTTCTTTATTTATGTATTTTATTTTTTTCCAAATTCACTCCCTCTCCAACTGTTAACATATCTCCTAACTTCAAAGCCTATATTTCTGATATGATTGCATGTAAGCCCCCCCCCCCTCCTCATCACACACACACACACACGCACCCACACTTTTTGTAATTTTTGGTATTCCTCCAAATGTGTAATACAAACAAAAACATACAATTGAATAAGAAAAAATAACGTTTTCCATATTAATATTGATGACACACACATACAGTAGTATGAATTGTTAGTGCTTGTTTCTCTCGATGTTATTTCTGAGAATGCTACGGGTCTAACTGTCACCACGTCCATCTAAACAGTTTCTCGAAAAATCACCGCTTCTATGAAATCGTTTACTTCACCCTTAAGTGCTTGCAGCAAAATCCAATTGAAGATGAACACATATAAAACGCTTTGCCCGTATTTCAAAAGTTAACTACACTTTGAAATGAACCACACACAAAAAAAAAACACCGGAAAAGGCGATTGAATAACTGGCAAATACAGTTGGGAATTTCATGAAAAACACAAAACGATGTATCCGACTTAGATGAAGTTACTTGACGGGCGCTCATGTCCGGCTGAAGAATTGACATTCGCCTTTATACCATCACGCATTGGAGGTGTGGAGGTAGATACTTGCCGGAAGCTCCACTTTGTTGAAGCAAATGAAGATGTTTTTCTAGTTGTTGCTTCTTCGTTTTGCTTTGTTTTGTATTCCTTCCTCTAATATGTTTATTGCCTAGGGAGGGTTGACCAGAATGAGCAGAAAAGGGTGTTAACAAAATAGCACAGTACTGTTGTTGTGGTGTGTTCGTTCAAACTTTAATTTGACTGAACTTTTTGCTAAGCTGGAAGGATACCGGTAATTGCCCGTACCCCATGTCTTCCCTTCAAGTTGACCAGTCAGCTTTAAGAAAACAGAGATCAACTGGATGCGACAATACAGTGTGTCCCAGAAAAAACGAAACCGAGAATTATCGATGTTTTATCATAACTTAATCACAATTATAATTAATAAATGACACATGTTAGAAAATCTTGGATCCTCTTTCATTTAATGTAACTCATATGATGCATATGTCATGCATGAGTGGTTAAAAACAATTTGAAGAAAGGGTACCAAAACGTCATTTGGCAGACGGTATCTGAATTTCAAAGAGAAAATCACATTTCCAAAAAGTTCATTTTCTGTCCAGGGCTCAGGGACTGTCGTGGCCGTGCGAGCCTGACCACGGGCCCATTCCAAGCCGAGTCCGGTCCTTTATCCGACTTACATAGGATACTTGTATTATAACTGTACCACAAACGTTTGAACTCATTATTTACAATAGCCATTGTAGCACAGCATTTTTATTTTTTTATTTATTTTTTTATTTTTTTATTTTTGTTAAAGTTAAAAATCGCTTTTTGATCTTCAGTTTTAACCATGATCATAATAAACAATTGATTCCCACAGCAAGTCTAAGATCTTCTTAGCATATTTATGTATGCTGTTTGTACCCGTTTGTATGTTATACGAATAATTATGACTGTCCTGCTGTTTTGGAAAATAAATTAGGAAGTATGAACGATGCACCCTATGCAGCTGTTTAGCAGACGTGAATGAATGATCGTGGACAGGGCTGTTATGAAATGAGTTATGGATGGTAAAGCTATATGGATTGTGAGTGATTGCTAAGCAAGGCAGGTGTTTTAGTAGGTCAGGTCCGTACCTGATGGCCACACCATATCAATCTGCTTTCTTCGTTTATATGCCCCACTACCCCCCCCCCCCTTCTCCCCCTCATCTCTCTCTCTCTCTCTCTCTCTCTCTCCCTCTTTCCCTCTCTCTCTCTCTCTCTCTCTCTCTCTTCCGCACTCTCTCTTTGATTATCTCTTTTTCTTTCCCTATATTTATTCGCTTATAAACAAACTATGATAGTCCATACCTCGGGTTACAGGTTTTATTAATATTTCCTTTCTTCCTATTTTGTTAACGTTGTATAATCACGTCCGACTATACCAAGCCTAGTGCCTTTGTGGATTCTCGCATCCCTTTTCCGTTTGCAAGGTATGTGTCGATGTAAACCCTGACGATATATATTGATATGTTAAAAGAAGGAAATAAATGTGATTTGAAATCAGAACTCGCTCTCACTCTTCCTTCCCTCTCTTTCTCTCCTCCCTCTCTCTCTCTCTCTCTCTCTCTCTCTCTCTCTCTCT